GCGCCGGTAGAGGTCAACATAGCCCGGTGGAGGCTAACATGGACCATCCGTAGGGGCCACCATGGGACATCTGAATTTGGTCTAGGTTAGTCTCAATGGTGTCCGCTCGGAAACTAGACTAACATAGACAAAAAAAAAAATGTTTTTTCTTTTTCAAAATGTTAGTTTTCACCGGTGTAAATCTAGCAGCAACGCATGAACTGCATCTTTTCATTGAGCAGAATGCACATGGCGTGCCAGGGTGCTTTGGTTAGAAACTACTGGGACGTCAAAACATTCCATACATATCCATACATCACCTAAGCATTTGTGAGCAGCTGCGGGCAAAGCGCTTGATGATATGAGGGTGATTTGTTCGCTGCATCTGCCAGAACTCTTGCTCCACCATCTGCTCGGCTTCTGCATCAGAGATCTGGAAATGCTTACTGAGCTTCACTCGATCAACTCCTTGGATTCTCGCTTCAGCCGATGCAAGGAAGATCCCAACGTCAAGCGCCTACGAGAAGACCCTCAAGGTGGCGTTCCTCCCACAACACAAGTGGCTGTAGAGTCGACTCGCAGTAAATGCAAACAGACTATCCTACGCGGATGTGGAAGAGACAACGGAGAAGGGAGGGGAAATGAGGGGAAGAGAGACGAAAAGAAAGGGAGGGGAGAGCAAGACTTCCAAAAACATGCGTTCAAAAGCAACAAGTCACAAGTAACCCTCATCCAGAAAACAATCTATAGCAAACCCCCCGCTACTGCAAAAGGAGCGTCGTTTCATGGCTTGCAGGTCTTGGGTGGCTTCGTTGCGCACAAGGAAAACACGCGCAAAGGCTCCACCACCGACGTCAGCATCTACGAAAGTGTAGCCTGGAGAGGCACGCCCGATGGGGCTTTGTATCAAGCAGGAAGGGCATCCTGAAGGACACCCGTACTGACATGCAATATCAATAATGGTTACAATAGATTACTCCTCATTCTGACCCCTGGATGACCTCAACTGACACCCCTTCAACATGAGTCTGACTTGTAATGATTATATAGATTATAGATTATATAGGTAATCATATCGTGTGACCTTGATTCTGAGCGCCTGCAGGGCACGGCTCAAACCGCTTGAGGCCCACTTGGTCCATGCGCCGCGAGTTCAATCCAGAGATCCGCTGCTTCTCGAAGGGCTCAGATCCAGGTCGTTTAAACATGGTGAGGTTGCTGATGCCAGCCTCCATCGGCTCCGAACGCAGTTGGAGGGCGTTTGACGAATAAACATCTCAAGCCAACTGAAGTATCAAGGACGTGGCAAGGGTTTCCAAGGTGGTTTGCATCCCCGCTAGTATTCAATGTTTTCTTGAGAGCTCTTATTCGGTTTTGGAGGCCCGCTCTAGCATACACCACCAGGCCGAGCTGCAGCATACCGTGCAATCTCCTCCTGTGTGACACGAACATGCTCTGTGACCTGGGAGCAGTTGCAGTAGATTTACTGTATTTATTTGGATATTCACTGTTTACTCTATTAAATACATGTTTACCTTATTACAGTACTTTTATTTCAGTATTTAAACAGTTGCAGTTCAGAGTTTACTGTATTTATATATATATATATTTAATCTATTTATTTGGATGTGCATTGACATGATGCTAAGTGAGAGTGACTGTGTGACTGGGATAGCTGCAGCTGCCACGCAAACAATGCAAAAACAAAAAACGTTCGTTCATGATTCCAAGCTGCATCTGCATCGTTGCAGAAGCGGTGTCTATCCAAAACACACCTCAGAGAGAACTTTTAACATCATCAGCGGGTGCACACATATTATATCATATTATACCGTTATATACATACATACCCAAAGTGACACGGGCCTAAGTAACTTTGACCAAGCACCATCGTTGCCAGAGCCGTCGAGGTCCATGTCGCAGGCTGGGAATCATGGATGGGTTTCTTGGAGCTTGTTTGACCAGCTTGAGAAGTTGAAATGGGCATAAGGAGGTCGTCTCTAAGAGAAAGAATGCTCGCCTTTTCTCTCCAAAGCAGAAAACCTTTAGTCGTTACAGTAAGACTTGGCGTTTCTTGAGTTATGGGAGACTGGGTCATTGTGAACGAATCATATGTGTGCGCAAACTTGCAGAATGCCTTTGCCTGCGAGCCCAACATTGCAGCAATGACATGTTTCAGCAGGGCTGTTTCCTGGAACAGCAATGCAAGTCTGAGTAGCTGCAAGCGGCCTGCTGAAGAATCTGTTTTCTTCCTTCCGGCCAGACCTGGGGGCATCACCACCTGCAGCTGTTGTGACCACCGGGGGCATGAAGCACCCCGGGTTGTCGAACTAGTCTCTCCAAAGCTGGAGACTCGGCTTCAGGCATGAGGGTGGGTCCAAGGGTCATTGGTTTTGACTCATGCCTTCCTATGCAGACTGCTGAACAGTCTTTTTCTACTGTCGAGCTGTCCCCACGCTGCTCAGGCTGCTCAGGGTTCATCACTCCAACCTGACGCATCAAAACGGAAGTTGCCTTTGAAAAGCGTATGACGCAGCGGAGTGGAACGGACGCGTCATACGGTGCCGGAGCGGGGCCTAGGGACTGGTCGGTGCTGAAATCCTCGCTGTGGAGAGGTTCCCAAAGCAGAAAGGTTCTGTCCACTGTGTGGGTCATATGATTTGTGGGCACTCTCCAGAATATGTTGGTGAAGCAGAGTCGCTCGATATTTCAACGGCTAGCTTTTTGTTACAAATGAAAAAGCCGGCCCGCGCCGCAAAACTGTCTTCTTGTGCTGAATTCCTGGAAAGATGTTCCCTTTGTTGACAAAGACGCGGGGATCGCAATCAAAATATTGCGTAGCTTATATACATCGTGGTATATCGTGGTCCAATTCCACCTTGCAGTCCTGAAAGCCTCTCTAGCACGTGGGTGTCTCTTGTGAATAAGGTGTGGTTGCTGTCAAGTCACCATCGCTGCTGTCAGTCACCTGGCGCACAGGCCGAATCTGGGATCTGTCTTTCCGCGGAGGTTCAAAAGCGAAAACTGCAAGAAGCGAGGCACCTCATTGTATGTATGGTGCAGCTCGCTGCCTGGCTTCAATTGGTAACAGGAAAAGGATGGAAAAGGCATGTTCCAATTTGTCTTTAAAAATCGAATGACAAAATGTGACCCATGTCATCCCCTCTCCAGTTTGCACTTCATTCCGAATGGCTCAATTGCCAGCCAGCTCGCCTGTGGCTGTTGATGGAACCAACATGACCTGTACACGTCGAAGTGTTTTAAAACAGCAAAAAGCTACTAGTAGCAAGTGCATCGCTATTAGGAACAGGTGCATCGCTACTAGTAGCAAGAAGCTACTAGTAGCTAATTGAAAACAGTTTCTGACAAAGCAAGGGCGACTTTGAGCCATCACGATTCATCATCGGTCTGTTTTAATGAACCTCACCCAAAAACAGAGAGTCCAAAGGAATAATTGGTTTGAGACGGTTTGAGTATGTCTGAGTCATTTGAGTGTGAGCTTGTACCATGTTGTGCCACCTCTGTGTATTCTGTTGAAGTTCCCGGGCCGGGATGTTTGACTAACATTGACTAACCATGGGGTGTGCTTCCAGGCTATGCTTTGATATGGCTTTGCCTAGTCAGCATCAAACATCCCACCTTTACATAATCGGGCTGGGCACCTCAAACAAATATAAACCCCACTTCTGGTGGTCTCAAGACCGGTGCTTTGGGCCGCTGCCCGTCCGAGGTACTCCAAAGCGGACAGCATTGGTCCACAGAATGGCCAAAGGCCCCAAGAGCCAACCAAAGATGAGGGACGCGTTGACGACCTCGGAATACGGACCGTCCAACAACACGGTCCGAACCTCGCGCAGTCATAGCAGTTCTGAACATCGAAGTGGATTGATGTGCCATGGCCGCAACAAAGCTGCTTTGGCCATGCTTCAAGCGGAAACAGGAAGGTCTTTCTTTCTCTCTTCCTTCACCCCCCTCCCATGATCAACCACCAAGAAGTGTGCCAAGCGACGATACTGGGAAAGAAGTGCTCCGGCCGATGCACACGGCAAGTGGCAAACATAATGAAGAGGAAAGCCTCGTGGCAGAAGCTCCGTGACGCTCACAGCTTCTTTGGAGCTTCTTGACAGTAAGCAACTTCTGAGTGATCCGAAACGGCAAGTAACTTCTTCTGTGTGAGAAGTTCTTCTGTGTTTAAAGAGAAAGGTTGGACCACAAAAGAACTCTCGTCGTTGTTCTGAGGCCAAGGGCGCCAATTCCAGCAAGAACTAAGAATGCCTTCACTGCGATCTCCTCAGTCGTGAGGAGATACGCTTCACAGCCATGCGGGCCATGCATGTCGAGTCGATCAAGCCCAGGCAAGCCGGCAGCCATGCTCATTCGGCAGCCATGCTCATATGCAGTTGCTCTTCCTATTCTAAAGATCTATAAAGGCATGGCGGCCATAAAATGAAGGCCAACTTCATGTTGTTTCTTAAACGAAAGAATTAACACTTATAACTGCCCCAAAGTTAATAATACAATATATTTATATGTGGCCTTATGATGTAATATTAATAAAAGATAAATGAAATAGCATAAGGCCACATTAATATTAATAAGATTTATTTATTGATGAACGAGAATTTACTATAAATAAAATTGCTATTATGAAATTCTCGATCAATAAATGATTGTACATAAGTCCCAAAAACACCAATAAAGAAATATGATGAAAGACAATGGTGTTTTTGGTCTATTAATGTTAATCCTATTGCCATTTAATTTCATAAGATATTTTATCATTAAATGGCAATAAATAGAATAAAATAAGACTAGCCAAAATATATCTATTGAGAGATTTATTCTAATATATTTTGGCAGGTTGTAGGTCCATGAAAATTAATTCATTCTTATTAATTGTCATCCTTTGTAGGGAATTGACAGCCGCCGTGCCCAGGCAACACGTGCACCGTGTATGTGGTGGCGATGCGTGGTTAGAGTACATGGTTTCTTGTGCCTTTACCACATCACAAGTGTAGGCTTTAAAGTGTGAGTTAAAAGTCGGACTGAGACCAGAAATCAATCTGGGCCAACAACTCCCGCTCCGTCGCCAAATCGATCAAAGCGAGGATGAGGAGTGGATGAGGTTGGGTTCCAGCTGCATGAGCTTTGATGCGTTGGTTCCAGCTGCTATGCTCTCTGTCTGTGACAATAACGCATCAAACGTATTGGGCATCTTCAGTGAAAACTCATCTGATGGCCAGTGACATGGTTTATCAATTTCCATACTCATGCGTCTCAAGTCTTACCTACTCTGCTACTCATGAACTGCGGTGCTACCTCCACCTAGAACACGCAAATCTCCATGAACATACGGTTGTGAAAAGCATGAGAACAGGATCTGAATGTAAAGAAAAAACCAAGATGCACCAAGCACGAGGCATCTAAAAAAAACAAGGAGGAACCCGAAATCCATGTAACAAGCTTTGCCAGACTTCTTGACTTACCTCTTTGGGCTTCTTCGATCTCAAAGTCGAATGGGCCCTTGGGGCACTCAAGAAAAATAAACTGATGACATCTAGGTTCCGCATTTTTGCCCAGCAAAGTTGGAGGTCCAATCAAGATATATCGAAGAGCCACGACCTGGTGCAGGTGAGGACAGCACTTCTGCCTTCGATGCTGGCTGATTCTGGGGCACCACAAGGTTGACTGAGACCTCCCTGCCCAAACAATCAAACATTTCCGCATGGGGGAGGCCTCACCAATCAACAGGGAACATTTAGTGGTTGCCCGGCGTTGGCTGCTCTAAGTATGTTTATTGATAATTGTGAGCATTGCCAAGGTCTGGTCAACGACTTTTTCAAACACCAGTTCAACGTTTTTCCCGCAGGCCACAAGCCACACCAAGCTACTAAGCTACTGCAACCCTGCACTCTGAGGACACGTGCTGCACTGCATGTCTGTCATGCTTCATACATTGGGCAATGGTAGCGCAACAGTCAATTAATCACAAGCTAGGACACCAAAGATGTTGGTGATGTGTATATAGATATTTTAATATATACTTAAGTGCATAGCGCTCACCCTTTCTCGCTGCGAAGCACTGAAGTTGGTGCTCCGGCCAGTGACTTGTCAGTCATCTATGGCCTTGCCACCACCCCTCTTCACTAACTTCGCTCTGGGCAAGCTCACCACTACGTGTAGTGCACGTGCTGGTCAACCGTGGCCATCTTCTTTGCCAAACCTGCCAGCACGTCTCCGGAGTCGTGGAGGTAGCGTTGCACCGCCGAGGACGTCCATCTTCCGGTCCTCTTGACGACCTCAATCTCGCCCGTGGCCTGATACAAGGCCGAAGCTCCGCCGATGCGGAGGGAATGCGACTGGAACCGTTCCGCTGGTAGACCAAGGGCTTTAGCTGCCTTCTGGAGCAAGTTCTGGACTTCGAGCCGCTTGATCACTGCACCTGATGCCCAGCGGAACAGCGGAAGGTGGCTTTCAGGCCCCTTTCCGAATCTCCTCGGTGCGACTTCACGAAGGCGATGGAGAGCGGTGACCACGCAGACATACTCAATCTCCGTCTTCTTCATAGTCTTGCAGGTCCCAAATGCTTCCTGATCCGCCTTGGTCTTCCGGAACTGCAGGGTGACCTCCTCCGGATCCATCTCGTCGGCTTGTCCCTGGGTGGTCAACGAGATATCCTGTCCCCGGACTACCATCTCCTGGTCGACCCCACTCGAGTCCGCAAATTCCCGGGCCCTCAGCATGAAGAACCACGCCGTCAGGAGCGCCGCCTGGATCATCCGGCAGTCGACTTTGAGCTCCCCAAAGGACTCGGCCCCAGCTACGAACTGCTTGCCAAGCCACTTGAGCATCTGTACGGTGACCCCCAATCGCCTCGGACGCTTGACCGAATGCTTCTCCAGCGAGTTGAGGACGATCCAGAGACGGTGCATCTTCGTAGTGGTATCCCCATGTCCCGCTCTCTTGTGGGCGTCCTTGATGGCGAAGACAGCCTGCTTCATGGTCACCGCAGAGGTGCCCAACCATCCCAAGTAGCCCAGATATCCGAGGACCTTGTTCTCATTCTGGATCGGGTCACCTCTATGGTCAAGGTAGGGGGATAGCCACCCTTGCCTCTTGCTCCAATCGCACCATTTGTTCCATGTGCCGACAGGTAGGCCTTCTGGGTGCTCTCCGCCTTGTCGCCAGTGAGGTGCGCCTCCAGCCATTCCTCAATCTGCGCTTGGATCTCCATGTCCTGGTTGAAGTCGGGGTTCAAATCGACGAAACGCCCTCCGTCCTCGACCACAGGCCTCACCGGCCCTTTTCGGCGCCCTCCGCACCGTCTTTCCTCAATACCCTCGAAGCTGCCGGACTCGAACTCCAGGGCGCCCAGCCATAGCTCTTCGCCCCAGAACCAGACATGCCCAACCTCCTGACCTCCGGCCTTTCGGTTCGGAGGCGCCCTTCCGAAGTCTCCCCTTCTCCACTTGCGAAGCCATTGTAGAAGAGAGCCGAGGGTCTTGTAGTCCTCCTGGTCGATGCACATGCCGGCCTTATTCTCCCGCACTTCCTTCGCCAGCTCTGCTGCCGCCCCAATCAGGTTCAAGGCTGTCCTGCGTCCGGTGGCCCTGCACCCTTCTCTCTCAGCTTCGACCTCGCCGATCTGGGATACGAGGGTGCGCCATTCATCCAGGCGTCTGCCCTGCAGGATCCACACCTCCTCACCGGAAAGCACCCTCACTTTACCAACTGGAGCCGCTTTGTCCTGCACGTAGATCTTCTGCATGCCCTTCTCGGTTGCGTCGGACAACGGCCACCTACCGGGCCCCCCCATCGAGTAAACATTGTGCCTCTGTCCTTCAGGTTCTAGCCACACATGGGCGGTCACCATAGGCAGCATCGCCTCCTGGCCCACGTTGATTGCCGTTTCCATCTTGTAGGTCGGCAAGCAGTTCTCCTCGGTGATCTTTCTCAGGTAGGAGCCCATCGAGGGCGGAGTGACCGTCTTGACCATCAGGCGCTCAACCTCCTCCTCGGTCTTGTCACCCGGGAACAGGAACCCCGCGATCCTCCTGCGCACCAAAGCCTCGCCAAGCTCGGAGGTCAAAAACTCCTGCAAGCTGCAGCCCCAGCCAACTGAGATGGCCCACTGCTCTAGCCGCCTCCACATCACCTCCGTGGGCCCTTCGAGAACCGCCACATCGAAGATCTCCTGGTCCAGGTACCTTGTGAACTCTGTCACCTTCCTGCCTTTCGGATCAGGGCCGATGGTGCCCGCGACAATCTTGTACATTCCATTGCCGTTGCCCGAGAAGTACTCCAGGTCCTTCACGTAACGTTGTCCGGGTGTCCACTCAACGACCTCGACATCCAGTAAATCCGCTGGCTGCCGAAAGATGGCACGAAAGACCCGAAGCTCTCGAAGACGCATCAGCTCATGGCGGTCCTCTTGGTCGGCCCAGGACAGAAAGCAAAGCCCAAACCGCTCCGTGTCTTCCAGGGCCTGATGGATGCTGGGCTTGATGTCTTGCCGGCTCCAACCTTTATCCTTCATAAGCTGCAATGCTTGCGGCTCATCCAGACGGGTCAGTGCGTCAGCATCCTCGTTGTGGAAGGTCCTCCACCATCCTCCAAGGATCCTACACCTGTGCCTCTTCTCGACGAGGTTGAGGACCCGGATCAGAAGCCTCCCTGCCCGCACTCCGCTCTTGCGTCCAGTAATCCAGAAGTAGACGACCTTGTTGTCACCGGCATAGATGACCACTCGTCCTTCCCACATGTGGCCCACCCGACAGGCAAAGGCGACAAAGCTTAACATTTCTCCCAGATGAATGGCGAGTTTCCCATCCTCCTGCCCTTCAGCCTCGAGCACCTGACGTATCCACGGCTTCAAAACCTCTATGGGTTCGCGGCATGCCAGGTGGTTCGTCCAGTCGATCGCTGCCACGACGTCGGGGGTAGCATCCGATGAAACGAAGACAGGACCCGCCCCTCGCTGCCCTGGAAGTGCGAGCCTCTCGAGTGGGGGTAGCAACTCCCTGATGTCTCCCCCAAACTTGGCCGCCCATGTCTCGGACCTCGAGCACAGCCACCTGCAGTCCTCGAAGAGCTCCCACAACGCCTCCCAAGCACTGGTCTCCTCGATCCGCCTTGCCTCTGAGCCCTCCGGTTGATGAAGCCGCGGGTGTACTGCTGCCCCACCATCAACTCCACCAAGGAAGAGGTCTGCCGCCTTCAACTCATTTCGTAGACCCGCAATCACCGCGCTCCAGCCGTTTGCGATACCCCGGAACCGTTGTAGTTCCTTCAACGGCAGGGCCTTGTTGCCATAGTTGAAGTGAGGCTGTGCCAGCAAGTAGGCCCCTTTGAGGATCCGTGCCTCCGGAAGCGACATCTTCTCGAGGTCGGTGTCGATAGTGAGGCCCCAAACTGTCTGCTGGTTGCTGAACTGTCCCTCTTCTGCGTCCTTCAACTTGTTGATGGCCTTCTCGCCCAGCAACTTCACCACAGCCCACTCATAGACCTCGCTGGACACCCAAGGCCGCAAACCGATCACCGGCTCGACCAGCACCATGTCATCGACCAAGATCTTCCCGCAGAAATGCACCTCTCCGTCCCTTCGGCTGTGGAGCGGTCGCAGGTTGCGGTGAACTTCCTCCGTAGCTCGCCCCCACACCGTCCACTCTCCTGGGGACCCCGAGAAGCCAAAGCTGGAGACGAGGTAGATAAGCGTCAGGCCTGAACCATCACATTCTCCCCCGCCCCCGCTCTGCTCCATGCACTCCGGTCTCCAAGGGACATCTCCTGCAAAAAGCTCAACATCTCGCGGGTCAACCCAGAGGAGACGGAATGCCCCGGCCACATCCTTCTTGGCCATGACGACCTTCACTCCCGGGTAGCGTGCTTTCAACCACAATACCCTCCTGGCGACCTGTTCGTGGGTAGGCTGTGCCGCCGGTGGATGAAGGTCTTTGCGCGTGCCTTCATTGACCTGTCGTTGGTCGTGAACCAACCTTGCCTCTGTAGACAGGGTCCGATTGGGAAGCATCTTCGGGACCAGCTCAAATGGTGACGACACCGTATGTCCCAGGTCTTGATGATCTGCCGAGACCACCAGCACCCTGTGCTTCATGATGTCTTTCATCAACTGGACATAGACTTGGCCCAAGTCGGCTCTGGCTCTCGGGTGCGGTCTAGTTGCCACTCTCTCCCTCTGACCCTGGTAGCGTGCGGGCATCCCTTGCGCTCTCACCTCCCTCAGGTAGTCCAGGTGGTCCGGGTGCACCAAAGGGTCTAGCTCCTCACTGTCAACGCCCTGCAGGTTGTTTCGCCCCAGATGCTCTCTTGCTATCCATAGGGCGATGGCTGCCTTCTCGACCGATCCGGCCCGTCCAAGCAGCATGTCTCCTCTCTCCCGAACCGCCTGCCATGTCGCCGGACCGGAACCCTGCATGCCGTCAATCTCCTGGATGTAGGCCATAGCTGCCGTAGCCGCTGCTCCTGAGATGCCCTCCTCCTCGAAGTCGACCCACCGGCTGCCTCCTGCTCGGGAGTCCTGCCATGTGCCTGAAGACCAGTCCTGCCAAACTCCGGCTTGATTTAACCCTTGCCAACCTGTGTGGTGGCTCGAGGTCCATCCT